GTACACTGATATGAGAGCACACAGCAGTTGGTTTCTGAGCTGGGATTCAGACCCAGGGCTGCAAACCTTTAAGAGGCTGAAGCTCGGTGCACAGAGCCCCACTCCAGGGACAAGCAGTGGCCATGTGGTCCTCCCAGGACATGCTGTGTTCTGGCAAGGGCTATGGGGCTGGCTTTCTGGGACAGGCAGATGGTATCGGTGCAGCAGGTGCCCTCGGGGTTGTAGTTTCGAGATGGAGTCTGTCCCTGTGTGCGGGGTGCCAGGGCAAAGCCTCTGAAGTCGGCTACTGCACTGCCTGGGGCCCTTCTTCTAAGAAGAAAGCCGGCCCTGTCAGTCTGGGAGTCATGCTCACTCGCTCAGCCCAAATGGCCCTGGGCTGCCCGTCATTATCCTCCATGCATCCTGCCCTTGGTCCATGGATCAGGCAGGAGGGGAGCTGGGATGAGTGGGGGTGGCCTCCCAGACCTGTCCTGCTCCTCCAAGGACAAAGAGCAGCTGCCTCTCCAGGTCTGTGAGCCCCATGTCTGCAAGCCCGCCCAGCACCAGGCTCTGAGGCTCAGTACCTGTCATTCTCACAGGAGGGGTTCAGCTATTTCAGACCACTGGGCAGCTCCTGTGTGGGGGGTAATGCATACTCCTGTCATTCCCCCACTATCAGAATCCAGGGCTGTGCAGGGTGAATGTCCCGCCAAGGTGACATTGGATTAAAAATAGACAAATAGCACTCATTTCTTTTAAAGACTGGGAAGAGAACTGGAGAAACCAAAGGATAAATGAAACTCCCCACAAGCAGCCCTTCTTTAAATGGACAACACAATGACCGCTAGTGCATGCAGTGCCTGGGGTCTGAGTGCCCTCAAGTAGTTTGGGGTGGTGCCGGGAGTCTGTGTTTCTAACAAGCTTCCAGAAAGCACTGTTGATTGTCCATTGAGTCATCTTGGATCACAAGGAGGTCGCCGTCTCCTGGGCATTTCCTCTCTGCACAGCTGCAGGCAGCCACTCCATGGGCACCCACTGTCCTCTGCACAGGGCAGCTGTTCTTCCCTCAAGGTGACATTTCCAGGACGGTGGCATTAGCCCCTGCCAGCAATAGCTTGCATCTTCCTGTCTTCCCTGCAGCTCCTTGACATGGAGACGAGCTCCACAGAAGGGTCTGATCCTGTCTCCAGGCACCATGGGAGCTTGCAAGGGGGAATGGGTCACCACTGCAGCTCTCAGATGTGGCCCCTGTCCTGGGCAAACTGTCCAGAGTTCACCTCTGAACCTCTGCAGAGCTGGCAGAGTCTTGGAGGCAGGGGCCACCATCCTTCTACGACCTTACAGGACAGGGACTACCAGCCCTGTGGCTCCAACCCAGACACAATATTTCTAATTATTTTTCTGGTAATTTCAGCAAGTTACCATTGCTGCCTTGATGATAGCTGCCTTCATGAGCAACTGTGCACTGCCGGGGAAGTCCCGGGGGTGCCGGGCTGCTTCCCGACAGGAAGTGTTCTGCCACATTTTATTTCCTCTCTGAAATATTTCTGTTCCAAGATCCTGAAAGAGAAGACAGGGGGCATATATCAGCTCCTAGAGAAATGCCATGTCTCCAGAACCCGAACTGTGTGAGTCTAGGGCCTCTGATCTCTGAGGGCTACTTCTTCAGAGGGCTCTGGGATGGCACTGGGCATGGGGCCATGAGCACAGAGGGGCAGGCTCAGAGGCCAGCAGCCAGCAGGTTGGCTGACTTTGGTGGCACACACAATATTCTCTCTCTCTCTCATTCTCTCTCTCTCTCTCTCTCTCTCTCTCTCTCTCTCTCTCTCTCTCTCTGTATATGTATGCGTGTGTGTGTGTGGTGCTGGGGATTGAATATAGGACCTTTGAACTGAACTACGTCCTCTGCCCTTTTTATTTTCATTAAGTTTTCCAAGTTAGGCTCAGATATGTGACCTTCCTGCCTCAGCCTTCCAGAAGACTGGGATCACAAGCACGCACCATTGCAACCTGCTCATAGTATCATCTATAACCTGTCCCGGCTGCTGCTCAGAAGCAGGTGCAGTTATTTTGATTTCCCATGAGAAGCTGATGAAGCCAGAACTTGAAAGATTTTCTGGCTTGCTGAGCCGGGACTGAACCAGCATCCCTGCTTTAATTACCAGCCTCTGTTTGCAGGCTGTGCACACCCATTTCCTGTGGGGCATGAGGATGCTTCCGGCAAGGTGGCCCGTATAAGGACCTCCTTGCAAGGTGACAGTGCAAACCAGAAGCTCCCTGCCGGACAGGAGCAGGGATGGTGTTTGACTTCTTGTTTTCTGTTTTGCAATCTTGATTTGCTTGGAAGGAGCCCTTGATAAGGACCCCCGATGGTTCACAACGTGACTCAGTTTTACAGTTTAAGTGGAGTTTGGCCTGCATCCCTCAAGGTGTAGATGGTTCTGTAAGTGACATTTACCATACACTAGAGAAGCACAGAGGGCCCTGAGATGGGTGCCGTGCCCAAAGGCCCTCCTCTTTGATGGCCTCATACCCTGCTGTGTGCAACCAGCCGCTGAGGCTGTGGGTGACATGGTCTGATCAGAAAATGGGACTCACTGATGTCACGACACTGCAGAAGCTCCTGGACCTGTGGGCCTTGAAGTAACAATGGCACACGAGGCTTCACATTACCTCTCTGGGCAGGCTAGGTCCTCACGTCCATGTGGAAAAGGGATGCTGTTCGTTAGTCAGTGATCGGCAGGGGACAGAGCCACCAGCACAACCCCACATGCTAGGGACAAGAGTGTCTGGACCCAATGTCTAGCTCCTGCTCCCCTGTCAATGAAGCGCCCCCTCTCCAGCAATAGCAGGGCAGTGGGCTAAGCTGCTCAGTTGGACATCAACTCTTCTCACCTGTCTCCTGTGGAACATGGTCAAGCAGATCAAAAGAAGAGCCACCGATGCAAATTCAAAGCCAGCCGTGTCTCCCTTTCCTCTCCTTCCTTGCTGTGGGATCATGGGTGTGATGGCTGGAGCCCCAGAGCCATTTTGGTGCTCAGAGGAAGGACGTTGGACTCATCATGGGACATCTGTGCCAGTGCCCCAGAGCATCTGGGGGAGATCATTTCCACACTGCTATGTATGCCTTGTTATGTAAAAGTCAAACACACAGTAGACAGAGAGCTGCAGTACCAGTAGCAGGAGACGAAGCCATCCCAAGCCAGCCAGGCAGGCAGCTAGGCCCTTGGGCTCCCTCGATGTCTGGCTGATCTCTCTGGAAATCTGGATGCTCAGCATTGCTAGTCTCGCCAAGGTCAGGAAGAGAGGAGGTGTGGCAGGTGGATTTTCAAATTTTTGGTACTGGAAATTGAACCCAGGGCCTTCACACTGAGCTACATCCTCAGTCCTTGTTAAAATTTTTATTGAAATAGGTTTTGCTAAATCTCTGTTTCCCAGGCTAGGCTGGAATTTAGGATCCTCCTCCCTCAGTCTCCTGAGTAGTTGGGACTACAGTCACGCACCACTGGGCAGGCCTGGCTTGGATAAGTGGTTTCTTAGCCTGGCACCTTGTGCGATTTGGGAATGTGGTTTCTGGGGAACTGGGAGGGAGGACAGCCTGGGGACTTTCAGTGGCAGACACTCAACATCAGAACTGTGAGGTCACCAGAAAGAATACAGTGAGGCACCTTCATTTTACAGATGAGGAAACAGCAGGGGTGCATGAGGGCTGGTCCCTGGTGACTCGTGAGTGTGTGTGTGTGTGTGTGTGTGTGTGTGTGTGTGTGCGCGCATGTCATGTGTGCATGAGTGTGTGTGTGCATGTGTGTGTACATGTATGAGTGTGCATGCCTCTGTACACACACACAGTGAGTGAGAGAGAGAGATAGAGAGAAAGTGAGAGTGTGTGTATGTGTGTGTGTGTGTGTGTATGTGTATGTGTATGTGTATGTGTGGTGCATCTCTCCCTTCTGCAGGCTCTGTACTTGTCATGCCAGGGTTAGACCACTCCTGTGAAAGGACTCAGACCTCACACTCACATTCCTATCTGTCCTGTATCCTCCAAGCTCTGTCCTTGGATAAAATATGATCCTATTGTTATCAGCATTGATTGTTTTCATACAAACAAGGAACAAAATCCAGGTACAAGCTTGTTGTGGCAGCGCATGCCTGTATTCCTACCACTCTGGAGGCTGAGACAGGAGGATTGAAGGCAGTCTGGGCTACACAAGTAAGTGCAAGGCCAGCCTGCACTGTATAGTGAGATCTCATCTCAGGCAAAACAAAACAAATCCAAACCCAGTTGCAATGAAATGACCGTGGGCCAGAAGGGGTGATGATGGAGAAGGAAGGTGCTTTAAAACAGACGAAAAAATTATCAAATGTGGACAATCATACCCGGAAGGGAAGCATTTTCCCTCTCTCCATCCTTGGTGGAGAGGACTTCGCTGAGTGTGCACCTCTGGTGCCATGGCTGGGACATCTGTGTCCATGGTTAAGAACCCACCAGGCTATGGTTGTCTGTGTCCAATGGTGCTGCTGTTTAAGGAGCAGGCACAGAGGAGGGAGAGGAGCCCTGGCAGCACTGGAAGTGGCCCATTTACATGGCAGTGAGGACGACGCTGTGGAAGGTGGGGTAGGTGCTAGGGCAGTGACCAAGATGAGACAACCAGGTCAGCAGGGCTGAGGGTAGCTCTTGACTGACGGCCAGCTGGACTGGGGCTCAAGCACATTCTGACCCAGTTTGGGGGAGACCTAGATGGGGAAGCATCTAGCAGGGAATTGATCCAGGGGTCAGGCCGTGCACCAAGCAGAGCCAGGACAGCAGGTGGGGAGAGGGGGGAGTAATAGATACTCACAGGAGGGACAGAGGCGCCATGCAGGCCCTGGACATTGCAGCTGAAATGGACTGCAGCAGGGAGCCAGAAGTGTCAGACTGTGGAATCCCAGACCAGCAGAATCATCTCTTATTCACTGATGCCAGGGCGGGTTTTGTGATCTTGGTGACCAACAGTAGAAATTATAACATAACATGTTGCAAAGTACACTCAAGTGACATCTTATTTTTCCTTCCTAAAATTCGCAAAGCAACCTCTGTTGTGTTATTTTACGTGGTGGTTGCAATGATCTCCCCAGGGCAACATTTCTGTCTTTCTGAGAAGCCGGAGACCCCGGGCAGTGACTCAATGTTCCCAAACAGCTGGTGAGGGACTTAAGTTCCTGACCAGCTCCTGCAGTCATAAGTCCTGTGTTCTCTGCGCTGTATGTCCCCCCAGGGGCCCGGGTGCAACATCAAGGAGGCCTGAGTCTCAGGTGGGTGGCAGCAGTCAAGGGAAAGGTAGCCACACCACCTCTCTGTCCTTGAGGTAGCTATGAGGGGATAGAGGTGTGAAAATGTTTATTACTCTTCTCATCGCTGAGGCAAAATATCCCACACCCAAGGTTGGGGGGGAAAGGTTGATTCAGCTCTCAGTTTGTGGAGGTTTCAGTCCATCGCCTTTGGCTGGCTCAAGTCAGGGTGGTGCAGAAGGGCGCCTCAGAGCAGAGACAGCCCACAGCAAACAGAAGACAGCAAAGCAGTGAAGTCCCAAGTTGAAAGCGAGCAGCAGTAGTCCTCTTTGCATCCCTGATATTCTATCCTAAGAGCAGGTAGTACTCACACGCAGGTGAGCTTCCCATTATCCATTGCCAGAATAACACCAAACCAATCAGGGAACTGATTCAGTCATCACACACTCTTGATCCCATGCCACACACTCTAGATCATCCACCTCTAAAAACTGTCAGCTGTGACCACATGAGGCTTTGAGTATAACCAGGAACCAGCAGCAGGTACCGCAGCATAGGCAGAAGATTATAAATTAAAGAGCAAACCTGGGAGTCATGAATGGTCCTTGGTTAGAGCCTGCATTGCACCTTTAATCTTCTAAAAAAAAGCCTCTCATGACCACCATGTGGGGCCCCAGAGCAGAATGACAAGTGGGTAGGTATCTTCTACACATCAGCTATGCCACTGCATTCTGAAACTAAGTTTAACAAAGCAGTCTGTGTTCTTAACAACCTCAGTTTGCAAGCTATTCAAGCCAGAGTTTTCAAAACCTCTGTATAAAGATAATGACCCCTGATAGTAATGAGAGTGTCTTCATGTATACAAAGCACCCAGCAAAATGTCTGTTGTGATGTAGATCATGGGTAAAGTGTAGATAAAAATAATAACATTAGTTAAGTAATAGTGCCAGATGCAAAGAAGCATAAGTTTAGCACATCACACAATTATTACTGTCCCTAAAAGAAAAGCAGAAAAGATAAAAAAAATGTAAGAAAAAGAACAAATAACTTTTGAGAATAATACACGAGATGATTTTTCAACCATGTTCAAAGTTTCATCAGAATAGAGATATGGTCCTCTTACATATTCTGATGTCCAGCTTTTCAAAAGCATTGGATAAAGTTCCATTGAATAAACAAGCAGAGTAAACCAGCAGTTATGGCCAGTGGGTTGCTTTGAGAGGGGAAACTTTAGATGGTGAGGCTGTCGTTAAATAAGGGTTGGACACATAACATTCATCCATCCATCTATCCATTCATCTGTTTACCCCATCTACACTATCAGCTACTGATAGTTTGCCTTACTAGCTGCTCTTCAGAATTTAAGGGGTTACAGGCCCACATGAATTTTACCCATATACCCATCTATACTTGTAAATACTTATAGACTCACCTTTCCATCTCTCCATCCATCCATCTGCCTATTCATCCATCTACCCACACATCCACCTACTTACCTGTCCATCTACCCATTCATCCACCTCATCTATCTACCTATCCATCTGCCTCCTCTGATCCATTTAGCTTGCATTCATCTGCCTTCCATTTGTCCACCCATCCATCTATCCATTTATCACTCATCCATCCACTCCATCTCTCTATCCATCCATCCATCCACCCATCTATACTGCATCTATTTACCTTACATCCATCTACCCATTCATCCATCCATCCATCTATCCACCCATCTATTCATCCATCCATCTATCCACTCCTCTTTCCACCCCATCTATGATCCACTCATCTGATGTTCACTGGACACCTGCCTGTGCCTCACAGTGCACTCAATGCTGGAGAGTACACCAGCAGTCCTGGCCCTTTACATTTCCTTTGTAATCTTGTAGGCAAAAATCCACCATGATACACATAAACTTCTGTTTCCTCTTTCCTGTAGAGGTAGTTCTTATACTTTACCCTAACAGCAACTACCTTTCAAATTCCCAAAGTGCATGCAATTCTTAGGCTACAGTTTTACCTATGTTACATTAATTTATATAATTGTTTTTCAATATTCCTGAGCTGAAGGATGTTTATGATGTTCTTCTCATTATTAAAAGACTTTTACCAATTCCTAATTGCTTCCTGATTGCTCTATCCGTCACTCTTAGATCATTTCCTTGAAGGCACTTCAAGTTATAAAGCTTGAATTTTATCATGCAGGTTAATAATCTTTCTTCATTTCATTTTGACACATCCAAGAAAAATTTTTTCAGCCATCATGGATCAAAACTGCTCATTCTAATGCAGAATAAATGATAGAAGTGGAGGGCATGGAGTAGTTGCCGGATGCAGTCAATTTATGATATAATTGAGAGTGTGGAGAAACGTGTGCCTGTACTGGAATGGCACAGATTTCAGCACAGTCTGTGTTTGAAATGTTCCATGGCACTGTGATCAGAGCAGAGTCCCATGTGCGCCGTGAGGAGCAGTTGCTGTTATGATGGAGCCCAGGGGCTGCAGGAGGATTGATGCCAGCCTTTCTCTGTCTACTCCCTGCTGTGAGGATCTGCTGAGACCAAAAGGAAGTAGAGAAACAGAGTTTCCTGATGCAGGAAGCCCTGCTTCTGGGGCCATCTGGAAAAGAGATTGGGGATAGATAACCTCAAGGTGAAGATCATGAAGAATGAGGTGAGGAGATGGCTCTTCCCAGGTGCATAAGAGCCAACTGAGCAATGCTCTGAGAAGCTCTGGGGCTGGGGGCATCAGTGTGACCTTCTTGGAGGGAAGGCAGCTCAGTCACTACCAAGGGGGCACTGCTAAGGGTTAGAGGTTGACCAGAAGGCTCTTTGAAGTAGAGGCTGTGCCCAAAGAGGAATTTATGTGACAGCTGTCAGAAAGAAGGGTAATAAGTGTCCAGCCTTTAGTGGGCTGTGGGGAGGGAGTGGGTAGTCCCTGAACATCTCTTCTGTCTACAATATTTTTTGTTATACTGGGAATTGAACCCAGAGCCATTGCATTGAGCTACATCTCCAGCCCTCTTTTATTTTTAGATAGCATCTCCCTAAGTCATTAAGTTGCCCAGGCTAGTCTTGAATTTGTGATTCTCTTGCCTCAGTATCCCAGAGATCTAGGATAATAGATGTGCACCCACCATGCCTGGCCCAGCCACTCAACAATAAATCAACACAATGACAAGAACCATGGTCCCTGGACCCACATCTACCTCCAGCCTTTGCTCCCAGGCTCACCTGTGTCTCTGGAAAGATATCTCTACCTATCCTGGCTCTGGTCTACTTTCTTGTTCTTGCTTTTCTTTGGCCCAGGCTGCTCCCTGTCTCCATGGTGACTTGGTCATTGCTCTTCCAAGATACACAGTGACCCCAGGAGCTGACCACAGTAGTGGGTATACAGGGTGAGCTGTACAGGACAGGAACATGCTGGTTTCTTAGTGGTCCATGCACCATGGGACTTTCATGAATTGTCAGAGTACTGGTCCTCCTGGGTTCAGGTCCTGCCTGTCCTCATGCTGTGCTCAGTCCCTGGAGGATGGTGCCCTCAGTGTCTCTGCACCCACCTTCCTAGCTGATTGGTCCCTGCATCCTGGTGCTCAGCTTCTGGACCTCCCTTAGTGAGCATCCCCAAGGCTCATCCTTTCCAGAACACTTTGCACTCTGAATCCACAGCTGTCCCTCTTATGCAACCACAAGAGTCAGTGCCTCTCTTCTTCCTGCCCTCCTGCCCACCTTCCATCTCTTTCCAGACAATGTGGCTTTATTGCCCTTTGTCTCACCAAACCTACCTTTCTGTCCCCTGGTCAGCTTGCTCTGGCCAGAGCTGAGGACAGCACTGAGATAACAAGTGGTCCCTGTTCAGCCTCCATCTGCTGGTCCTCTCATATTCAGTCACTATGGGGTTATCAAAAAAATTTAGTGTTCAAAATGAAAACCTTGTGCTATCATCCCAGTCCCCAGAGTCGTCCACACTATGCCTTAAGATGTCCCAGTTTCCAGGGCTTCTTTACTCACTCCTGGACCACCTGGCATCTTTTCTATCACAGCCTGTCACCTGTCCAAGCTGCTAAGCTATCAGGGAACTGAGCCCTCTCCCCTCTGTGACCCATAGCATCCCACCCTTCACATGCCAGCCTCCCTATGGTCTCTTTCTTGGAATGTGTTCCTTTCCAGTGTGATCTGGTCATGCTTCACATGCTCTTGGGTCTGCATTAGATGATTTAATTAAAACCTGACATTCTCGTCCTCCCAGAAGGTTTCTGAGGGTCCAGACAGTTCAGACACAGCACTGAATATGTTTTGGATAGATGAGTGGATAGAAGAACCCATATCTGGACCCCGTCAAGATTTACATCCCAGGTCTGCACTTCTCAGGACTGATGCTAGCTTTGGTTAGTCTTCCATGCATTGGGAGGGCTCAGAGTCTCACAGCCCAGCACCTGTTTGAGTGTGTGATGAAGTCAGGAATAGGACAGAGCACAAAGGATGGGAACTCAGGACAACCACAGGAGCCACCAGGCAAGGAAGTAGAGACCAGCAGACAATATGACTGTATGGGGCTTCTTGAATCCCCCAAGTTCACATGTCGACAGCCCTTCCCCAGTATTCTTGAATGTCAATTGAATGTCAATGTATTTTGAAAAAACCCTTTACAGAGGTCCTCCGGCTGAAACTGCCTTAGGAAGGTATATCCAGGCTGCAGGAGCAGCAGCTGTTTCCAGCAGCCCTGCAGCCCTGCCCAAGACCTGCTGCAAGCTCTGAGCTCTGTGCTCCAGGCCTTAGCAGAGGTACCCCTGGAAGCCTCAGGAATGCTTTAGACAGAACATCCATCGGCACCAAGGGGCTTGTGTCACCTGCAGCTGCACCCACCCCAAGCCTCCCAGGCTGCCTGGCTCAGTGGCTGGTTTTCCTGACCCTCTCTATAGATGCTGATGCTGTGGTTCTGGCCTCCTCCAAGTGGCCCTGCAGGCCCTACCGGCTGGCTTCTCCCTCCTCATTCTCTCTGGAAATGTCGGCTGCGGAAACAGAGCAGCCAGACATGCACTCTGCTCACACAGAAATCTTCTGACTCAGCATTACCCGCTGACTCTGGCAGAGCCCCAGGGACGAGGAGGGCAAGGGCTGGACAGGCCGCGCTGGCTCCGGGGGATGGCTGGTGACCCATGGAGAGCTGCTCGCTGCCCTTCCCTCCTGTAGGTCTGCGGGTGATGAGCGGGTGCAGCCAACCCAGCCTCTTAGAGAGGATGCGGGGGTGGGCACTTCAGTTAATCACCAATTGGAACTGGGCTGCTGTTCCTATGGTGATTGCACACTGATCCCCATGCCCTCGGCGCTTACCTCCTCCCATCCACTGCAACCTCCATTAAACAGAAACAAAAGATTAATATGGCAGAAGCCATTTAATGAACTCGCGCTGGCAGTGGCTGGTAGCTTTTTCCTGGAACCATGACGAAGAGGCCTCTCCGCCTCTTCCAGTAGAGCACAGAGCTGCTGGCATCTCATCTCACCCGCCGGCCGACATCAGTGGTGCAGAGGTGCTCTGAGTTTGGGGGAAACCCCTTTCCTTTTCCTCCACGCAGCGGAAATCATTTATCTCCCCATGCCAGGAAGGGAGGGAGTAGGATATCAGAGGAATGTGGACTCAATGCAGGGGGAGGAGAGAATGCCAAAGGGGCTGGGCAGGGACTGGAGCTGTGTGAGGCTTCTCTCCCTCCATGCCCTGAGCCCTGTGGCTGCCCTATGGGCCATGGGAGGCACCCACTCTGCTCCTCTGCCTTTCACGAGCCTCTTTGCTCTCTCAGGAATATTTTCTCCTCATTGTGTTTGGCCTCCCTGCTCAGGAAGCCCCTGCAGGGCCAGTGTAGGCTGAAGCCCTCCCTACAGGGGCCTTGGATGCTGCTCAGGGTGCTGTTCTCAGCCTCAGGTGGATCCCTGCAGATCTCCTAGGCACCTTGCTCTTCTGGAAAGTGCTGCCAGGCTGCAGGCCCTGGAGCTCACACACAATCTGCATCTGTGGATGTGGGTCCTGGAGTGCAGACAGATGAGAGTCAGGGCCTCCAACGCCTTCTAGGCCAAGCACAGAAGCAACACAGAGGGCTATGCCCTCACAGCAAAGCCAAAACCGGAAAGACAGAGAAAGGCACAGGGGCAAAGTCACAGCATTCTGGGCCACAGGGGCTGTGCCTTAGTTACTTTTCTTATTGCTGAGACAAAATACCAGACACACAAAGTTAAGTGAGAGAATGTTTGTTTAGCTCACAATTTGTGGAGGTTTCAGTCCATTGTCAGCTGATTCTAAGTCAGGGTGACATGGCAGAGGGGCAACCACTTCTGGTGGCGGAGGACAGCAAAAGCAATGAGAGACAGGGAAAAAGAGAGAGACAAGATTTATTCTGTTCCTTATATTGTATGCAGTCTAAGTGCCCTAGGGCAGGTATAGCGCTCACACCCATAATCTCAGCACTGGGCCATGAATCAATCACAAACTCTAGATTCAGCTGCCTCTGCAAAACCCACTCCTCATGACTGCATGAGGTTTTGGAGGGACATCTAGACATAAACCATAACAGGCTGCCTCCAGTGGAAGAGGCTCCTGGTCACCAACTTAGGTGTATTGCACTTCTGACTGTGCCAGTACACAAGTTCAGGGACCTCTGTGTGCCATGCTTCCCATGCTCTGCACCTTCTAGGTATCCAGTTTTATGTCCATGCTCCCATTTCTTGGCTTTCCCTATGCTGGGCACAGCCATGACTTCTCGGGTGGCTTCACTTTGCTTTTCTCTTGGGGGTCCTGGCCGGTGGGCAGGGCCCGGCCAACGTGAATGCCTTGCATTGCCCAGTGGGATTGTGTTTAAGCACCAAGAAAGATATTGACCCAGATGTATCTGCAATGAGGGCCGCACAGGGAATGTGGTCAGAATCATTGTGAGGTATAGGAGGGAAGTAGCTAATGCTGGGGCAGAGAAAGGGGTGAGTGAGAGCTGGGATCCGGAGAGCTTGGGCACTGGTCCTGCAATGCTCATCTGTGCATCAGTGAGACATCCACTGTGGGTGGAGCAGCAGGAAAAAAGAAAAGAGCTGAATTTGCCTAGAGGGAAGAGCTCCTTACTGCATAGACTTCTGACCATTCTGGTTCAAACTCAGTCTCCTACTACCATTTTAATTTTTGCATTACTGAAGACTGAATGCATAGCTTTCTGTCTGTGCTACATTCTCAATCACTTTTTAATCATTGATTTCTTTTCTTTGACATAGGACCTTGCTAAGTCACTAGGTTGCCCAGGCTGGGATTGAACCTACAATCCTTCTGTTTCAAGCTTCCAAGATGATAGGGTTTCAAGCATGTGACACCATACCAGCATCCCTGCTATCATTTTTAATTGTAAAACAAGCTCCACATTTTATTAAATGGAATATGTTAACTCACTGAAGCAGAAGCATGGTGACCAAGGGAAAGGTGGTCCCAACCCTTCCAGAAGCCTGCAGTCCCTACTCAGCACTAGGATGTAGGACGCCTTCCGGGACCAGGTCATCACCAGCACAGCACTCTATTCACAGTTATGAGGCTATTCACTGCACTGGTGACAAGAGTGTCCTCCTTCTACAGAGGCAAGACCAGGTATAGAAGACTCACAAATCAGTGTAGCTTGCTCTAAAGGTTTCATGTTCATTGAAAAATGTTGGAGAGGGCAGATAGATAACAGCTGGCTACAGAGGCTCCCTGAGATAATCAATTTAGAATTCAGCATAATACAGTGTGGGCAGCCCCGAACAGAGGGAGATGAATTCTCTCATCCCAAGAAGAAACTAAGGTGAGAAGAACCAATGAAACATATAGTCCCGGTGCTATTATTGGAACGGCTAAAGGTTCAGTGCTCCCACCACAGCGGGCGACTTGCTGAGCTGTCCAAGCTCCCACTGCTTCAACTCACTGGAGGCGCAGTCACACTGAGGTCAGAGGTTGGTCAGCCAAATGGAGAGCTGAACTGGTGGGGAGCCTGCATCAACCTGTGGCGAGTGACAAGAGTGGAGCCATTCTACAGAAAGGGGGACTCCAGTGGATGACATTCTGGGACTGGGCAGGACTGGCAAGTACAAGGGGCAGCAGTGACTTCAGTCAGTTGTTCCCTTCCCGAACAGGACTGGTAAAGTGAGCTAGGCCTGGGTCACGCCACCTGGCTAAGACCCAATAGGTTATCTGAAATCAATTCCCTACAGCAGCTGCACACATTAACGCAGTGAAGCCTCAGAAGTTTGACTGACTCGGAAGGGAGGGGCCTGCACGGGCTGCCCCTGCTTGCAACTCACTAGCACACTGCAGTGGGAATCACCTAGCCAGCGTGCTTCAGAAGAATTGTAACCAACAAAGAAAGAAACTGGGCCTCCTGGAAGAAACAAAAAAGATGGGAATAGGAAGCAACAAGAAAAAGTCCCCAGGTCCCAACCATGAGAACATTAACCCAGGACAGGTAAATACAAAGGAGAATGAGAACAGCAAACATGCAATATCAGACACAGCGTCAGTGGACATAAAGAGATATCTGTGGGACCTCATAGACGAGTTCAAAAGGGAAATATTTAGTCAAGTAAAGCAAGATATAAGAAGATTAATAAAAGAGATGCTAAGAAGACACAGACAGAAGAAGAGGAACTCAAAGGAGAGAACCATTTGATGAGGAATATAAAGAAAATATAGAATACATGAAGCAGATTCAAAGAGATTACCAGGAAATTAAAAACTATGGAAAGATGGCAAATCTGCTTGAAAGAAACTAAGGATAGATTACCCAAACTGGAGGACAGTTTTGCAATGTGGGATTATGAAAGGAAAAACTTTTTAAATATAACAAGGAAATAAGCAATAACAATACAAAGGCTAGAAGATGACAAGAGGACCTATAACTTGAGAATAAAGAATGTGAATGAAGAAGCTGGGGTGCAAACAAAGGAACTACAAAGGCTATTCACAGAAATAATTAAGGAAAACTTCCCAAACATACAAAAAGGAAATGATATTCTGATATACGAGGCATACAGAACTCCAACCACCTATAACCAAAACAGAGCTACACCCAGGCATATAATAATCAAGATTCCAGAAATTCAGTATAAGAACAGAATATGAAAAGCTGTTAGAGACAAGAAACAGATAACCTATAAAGGAAGGCCCATCAGAATAACGGCAGACTTCTCGACACAAACCATCAAGTCAAGAAAAGCCTGGAGTGAAATATTCCATGCCCTGAAAGAAAATAACCTCCAGCCCAGATTGATATACTCTGCTAAACTGTCTCTAGATATTAATGGAGAAACAAGATGCTTCCAAGACAAAGAGGAACTGGGCAAATTCGCAACCACCAATCCAACTCTTCAGAGAATACTGCAGGGCATTCTAGAGAGAGAGAGAAAAGTACTAGGGTTCCAGGAACAGTGGCAGAGAGGCCTCAGTGAATGGGGCAGAAAACAGAATGAAAAAGATAAACAGACAACTGATGGCAAAAAAGAGCATAACAGAAATGAGGCAGAGAAGGTTGGTTTCAATCTCTAATATAGATGGTCTTGATACACTAAATTAAAAAAAAAAAAAAGAACCACACGTGGAGTAGATCAGGAGGCAGGGTCCACCGAGATGCTATTTATAGGAAATATAATTAACATGAAAAAGAGTACATGGACTGAAAATCAAATATGAGAAAACAATGCTCTATGTGACAGAGAACCAGAAAGTAATAAGGGCAACTAGACCAGTATTTGTGGATAGGTTGCAAAGACAGGCTTTAATAGGTAAAGGAATACAATTAGAGGTCAAGTCCAGGAGAGAGAAGGTTTGGAACCACTTAGGTAAATATCAGGTTGCCCCCCCTCAATATAAAACCAAGGGTCTTGGTCAGACACAAAAATGTACAGTGTACCCTGGGGAAGTGAAAGGGGAGGGAGAGTCTTAAAAAAGATGGCAGAATTTAAATGTATCAGGATTTAAAACCCACATTACTCATAACACTCTGCTTAGATAGACTTTATTCTGTCCCAATTTGTCTACTTGCATTAAATTTGAGGGTACAGACAGCTATCCCAAAAACATCAGGCTATGGCACTGTATAATATAATAAAGATATAATAATTATCTTTAATTTCCTATTATCTTAATCTGGAGCCCTGTATGACTTATACTGTTTTATCATGAATGATCTTAGTTAAATCTGGTTTGTTTAATTGCTGTTTGGTATTGACAGATTTTATTCAAAACTGATATGATTGATAGTATCAAGTCTGAGAGTATAGGCAACAACATTGAAGATGACAGACTCTACGATACACATTCTGGTTTGATAACTGCCTG